TTTACAATCATAATTTACTGGTTCTAAAGTCAATATTGAAAACCATCTTAATTTTAAGCGGGTTTCAAAAAAAAAAAAAAAAAAAACCCAAACAACAAGTGTCACTCATGATGAGATTTCAAAGAATGCTGACAATGCTTTGCCTTGAAAGTTTTTTTTAGTTTAAAATAAAGAAAAAATAAAGAAATATAAGTTGGAGGTGTCAACAACTTACAAGTTAAATATACTCAAAAATATACTCAAAAATATAGTTCAATTAAAGAAAAAAAAATTGTAAACAATGATACCAAGTCTGTTTTCAATACGACCATTATGCCAAGTAAATAAATAAAAATTTTGTTTTACACTTTAAAGCGTTTAAAAATAAGTTGTAAATTTTTTTTAGCGTAAATTGACTTAAATAATATGAAAGCTATTTAATTTATCATGAGTGAACATCATAAGCACTAAAATTATTAAAATATAATTTTATTAAAAGCTATAATAGGAACTGGGAAGACATAATGACAAAAGGTGATTGATTCACTGAAGTTCAATGGTCTGTTAATTTTTTTTCTAGTAAAAGAAGAGACAGTAAAAAAAAACTTTTTAGGAATTTAACCATTTTCTTACTAATCATGTTACTTTTTTTCTATTCTTCTATCAAAAAGACATATATATGATTCTATATAGAATCCTTTTAATTTGTTTGATTTGGTAAACTTGTAATTTTGTTTTTTTTTTTAACTTTAAATAATTGAGAAGCTCATTAAGAAACAATTTTTTTTTTTTTTACTAGCCTTAGAAGCATTTCTTATGTCACATTATTTATCGATTAATACGTACGTATATACAAAAAAAAAAAGATGAGAAGATGTAGTAACATGATCTGTAATAATAAATTGAATGTTAAAAACACTATTATTATTTAACTAAGAAAAAAAAATTTTATCTTGCGTTAATAGATAGACTTAATGCTAAGCAAAATTGTTTTTATTTTTTAATGAGGCGTACACGTAATGACTAAAATTCAATTTCCGGGCGTGTCGTACATAAAAAAAAAAAAAAACCGATGCCAAGAGAATTTTTTTTTTTTGAGACTTAAAGAACCAAAAATTTACTGATTAGAGAGCTTTACCACCAAATGATACCTCATTTTATGCCAATTTTTTTTTTTTTGAGAAGTATTAATATTTATATATTTTGAATATTTTCAGATACTATTTCTCAAAAAAAAAAAATTGGCATACTTTCTTATGCATAAGAAAGTATCATTTCGTGAAGAGTTCTTTTGAAAAATATATATATAAGGGATAGACAAGTTTGTAACCAGTTAGTTGATTTAATTCCGTCGGTCATTTAACAGAAGGAAAGAAAAAAAAAAAAAAGACTTGAAATTTCTCAAAAAAATAAAAAAGTGTATGTGTCTCTCTACTGACACATTTTGATTATGGAAAATATTACATCATCATCATTATAATGATAATTATCATGCAGTAACAAGGCACTTAGAATAAAAATTTCATACTATACTTGGTTTTCACTAGAAATAATTGAAGTAATAAATTGTAGTTTTTTTGTAATGAAAAATATATATATATATATATATTGATTGCTTTTAAAATCAAAATTTTGTTTACTCAAGTTCATTGAGAAGATATAGTAAATTGTTTTGACTATAAATACATGAAACGAAAGTGTGATATTGCTTTAAAATTAAAGTCAAGAAGATGAAGAAAAAAAAAAAAGAAGAAGAAGAAATATTTAAAGATTTCAAAAATGAGAGCTTTGAAAATTTTTCATGTGAGATTGTCAAAAAAAAATTTGGGGATAATTTTGTAGTTAAAAAAAAAGCGTGTTGTAGAACAAAAGCGAGATTATGAATTAGATATCAATATAATCAATTTACTATAATTAAATTATATAACGGGATTAAAGTAACCAATTTTAATTAAACTAAGAAATTCAAAAATAAACACAAAAAAATCCTCCCTCAAAAAAAAAATTGCTTTACCCCATGTTGGTTAATAATTGTTGAATTTTGTTAGTGGATTCAGAGCCTGTTTATAAATTTATTATTAACTTTAAAAATATAAATAAAGATAAAAACAAAGACCGTAAAATAGATGCAACAATATGAACCAAAAAAAAAAAAGCTAGATGAAAAGGTAAAAAGTTCAATATATCTCGTCAGTTTTAGTATCTGTGCTAATGAACCAGTACTGGGTATTATTCAACAATCTGTAAACGGATTGAGGGGCAAGTCAATTGATAGGAACTTGAAGTACTACCTGTTATTATTGATAGAGATTTGAAAATGGATATATTATAAGAAGAATTGAAATTAATAATAGTAATAATAAGGAATTTCCTGAATAGAATAAATACAATCCTTTTAGAGAGACGGGTTTTATTGTTCAATACACTTAATTAAGTGTATGCAGGAACCCTAACCACACAATTCACTTATTTGTGGTTAGGGTACCGGTCGCAGCTAGTAATTAGGCTAGAACACTAGGTTGAAGTTCTGTGATCTGCAGTCTAAGTGGTAGACCAGACCTATAACACTAAATTATTGTTGATATTAAAGTGGACATAACGAGGCTAGAAACCATCCGCCAGTATGAATGGACCGACCATCCGTGTTCCGGCGGCACAAAAACGAAACATTTTTTTTTTTTCAACCCTCAGGAAAAAAGAGCGCACATTACTAAAAAAAAAAAAAAAAAAAACAAAGACCCTTTAATCAATGGAAAACGAGTTTTCTTTTTATTAAAAAAATATCAGATTCGCTTTTTTTTTTTTATTAAGTTTTCCTGATATACGCTGGGACATATTGAAGAATTCAAAACTCATGTTAGTTTAATCATAACGAAAAAGGCAACCTTTAAATTTATTAATAATAATGAGATAATGGCAGATTTTCTTTGCACAAAACTTAGCAGACACTCTAAGTCAAGTTTTAGTATCGGGTTATGTAAGCTTAGGGTATGTACCTTTCCAGTGTACCAATTGCAAATGAAAGAAATTTTTGATACCGTTAGCTAAACAAATTGAAACTATAAATCGATTTTAAATTAAAATGAACTCGGGATCATTTAGATATATAAAGGTATTAAACAAGGATATGGTTATGGTGTTTGTCGCAATGAGGGAATTCGAAATGCAAAAGCTTTTAAGCAAACAGGATTCAGTATAAGTTTCTATTATTGTGTTAAACAGGGTTTTAAAAAAAAATTTTTTTTTTTCTGATGGGTACGAAGTTAGAGGTAGAAGGTTTTAAAAAAAATTTTGAAATTCTCAGAGTAGCTAAAATGGGACAAACCTCACTAAACACAACTAAAATTTGTCTTTTTCTTAGAGAATTGCTACATTCAAAATATAACAAGATGATCCTATTGATTAGATTAAAATAGAATGAAGAAGATTCTAAAGAAGATTATCATGATTATCATTATATGCCTATTATTAACACAAGAAACATAAAATTGATAACTTTTATTATTTCTATCTTGTCTTAGATCAAATTTCTAATAAACAACTTTAGATACATGAGGGCCAATTTTATTATATTTTACAATTTGCAATTAAAAAAAGTATTATTTGAAGAACAAAATCCGACTTGGTAATATCCTTTTCTGCTCTTTCTTTTGTTCATGGGGCTCTTTGTTTCTTTAACTCTCCAAGCAATTTGAGTGCTTTTTTTTTCATAAGAAAAAAACAAGTCTATTTGGAATTAAAAAAAAAAAAAAAAAAAAAGCTCCTCTAGTCTAAACTTCTTATTAAACTCGCTTTGTCAGCATATTGTTTGAAAAAAACTTAAATTGTCTTGTGGAGTATCTGTCAATTGTAGCTCTGAAAATCGGTATCAGCTTTGCAAGTCAAGACTTGTACTAGGAGTACGCCCAGCTCATATGCAGAACAATACTATCCAAGAATAAAAATAAAAAAATAAAAAGGGTTTGATTATTAATAATAAGTTAATAAAGCTTAGCTTTCAGTTTTGGAATGCACTTTTGCTGAGTATGCTTAAGTGTTTTCCCAAGATTAATATGCATTTTGAATATATTGCAAAATCATGGATATGTCTGTCTACGTAGACTGTTTTTTTCTTCTATCGGTGCAATAATTGAGATGTTAAAATATATGAATTATTGTACCTAGTTTTCTTTTTTTTTATTATTATTATTTTTAATTTCTAAAAAACATCCCTCGATAATTGTCTTGGCATTTTGTTTTGATGGTTTCCCCCAACTAAAACTAATGGGCCCTTGAAGTGGCTTTTATGGGGGTGGAGAGTGAAGAAGGAGACGTTGTAAACCAACAATTTTTTTTTTCTTTTTTTTTAATTTTCTCTCCATTAAAAACTTATCACAAAAACCTTAAAAGCCGTGTAATGACTGGGTCTCGGGAAATTCAGTCGAAAAAAAAAAAATAATAAATTTTGAACAAACGTCCTTTTTGATACTATTCTTTTAGGTAAATAATCCGCGGATTATGTAAATTGTTCGTATCATATATATCAAATGAAGCATTTTTTCCCATTTAAACTTTTGAAAAAAAGGTCCCTCAAAACCCTCCCTATTTATGACACTAGTAAAACAATCATGCACGGCATAGTGAGTTTGGCAAAAATCCACACACAAAGATTTGATTCTTTTAAAAAAAAAATAATTTGCGATTTTCCACTTTTGTAAATTTAAAAAAAAAAAAAAAATTATTTTTTTCTTGTATGATTATCTTTTCCTGATTATAATCATTAAATAAAAAAAAACCACTGATCATCTATCGATTTTCTGATTGGCTTGAGAAATCTGTAAAAGATTTTCAGTCAAAGGAGAACCATAATAAAAGATTTTTTTTTTTCGAGGATCCCAAAATTTCATATAAAGTCAGTATTCCCCTATTTAAAATTTTACCTTTTTTCTTTTGCTCTCTCTTTCCTCTTTTTTTTTTTTTTTTAATTACACATTATCTCTATTCACATCTTTTTTTTTGTGACTTCTTGTCATATTCACAACATGAAGTTACTTCTACAATTGTCTCTACTGTGTGTCTGGCTCAGCTCAGTTATGGCTGCCAAATCCGGTGATGCCTTATACCGTGGATGTTTGGCCTGGGTCGGCAAATACACTTTTGAGTGTCCCAGTCAGTACTACAAATCCAAGTCTGGTCATTCAGTTGCATGCTACTGCTGGAGTCCCGAGTGGCTTGCTACCTATGTTGACTGTGTCACCAGAGCCAAAAACGGTAACACAAACTACGCTCTTCACTCAATCATTGACGACGAATGTATCCCCTCAATTCGACCCAACCTCACTGTTGCAGAATTGCTCGACATTTATGAAAATGCTACAGATTACTTTGTCGACGTCTCAACTATCAAAAACAAAACCTTGCCTTCTTACCATCCTATCAAGTTCACCCAAGCACAAATTGACCAAGCTAAGAGATCCTTTGCCGCTGGGTTTTATTCAAAATATACTGGTAATCTCTATGGGTATGTTTTATTAATAATAACTCTTTAATTTCATTTCTAACTTCTTTTTTTTTTAGCGGTCTTATGTTGGCATACTTTGGTGCCGTTATGCTTCTTGCTGCTATCTCCAACTTTTTGAAAAAGGTGGCACCTGGCTTTGTTCACAAAACAACAAACAACAGAGTTGCTCTCTTTTTCCGCAAGAAACTCATCAACCCTGCTGCCTTTGGTTATAAGCACAGTGTTCCTATCAAATGGGGTCCTATTAACATGTCTCTTCCCACACGAGCTCAAACCTGGGTTCTTGCAGTATATTTTGGAATGTACATCATTTTTATATTTATTAAATATGATATCTATGATGGCAACACTCGTTACACTACTCGCACTCTCCAAATCAGCCGTTATGTTGGTGACCGTGCTGGCCTTATTGCAATGTCTCAACTCCCTCTCATCTATGCTTTTGCTGGCCGCAATAACATTCTAATGTTCCTCACTGGTCTATCATACGACACCATGAGTGTGTACCATCGATGGGTTGCACGTCTCATGTACCTCAACGTGTTTATTCATGGTATTACCTTTTCTATCAACTATCGCAAGGGTGGAACATATTTTAAAGAAATGAAGGAACCAGCAGTTGTGTGGGGTATTGCTGCCACAGTCTGCATCAGTTTCACTTTGGTCATTTCTCTTCGTCACTTCCGAGAGCATCTCTATGAAATCTTTTTGCTCTTCCACCAGGCGTTTGCTATTTTCTTTACTGTAGGTGTCTGGTGGCACGTCAAGCCCCACAATTTTAGTGAATGGATTTACTGTGCTACCGCTCTCTGGGCTTTTGACCGAGCCGCACGATTGGCCCGCATAGTTCTTAACGGTGTTAATGCCAAGGCTCATCTCGAACTTCACCCTCAAAATCTCATCAAGATTAAGGTCGATTATAACAGTTTTGTTTGGCGTCCCCGTCCTGGTGCTTACGTTTTTATTCATTTCCTCAACCCACGTTGGAGATGCTGGGAAAACCACCCCTTCACTGCGTACCCCTCGCCTACCCCTGGTGAAGAAAAGAAGATTATTTTCTGTGCTCGTGTACGCAACGGCAAGACCAAGCAGCTGGAGAACTATCTTATTAAAAATAACAACGCTAAAACCGTTCCAGTGTTTATAGATGGACCCTATGGCCACACTGTTCCGTTACAGACTTCTGACAGCATTGTCATTATTTCCGGAGGTATCGGGTTTACTGGTGGCTACTCATATGCCTCTAAACTGACACATCAGGCAGAGAAGAAAAACATTAAATTTATTTGGGCCATCCAAAACCACGAAAACGTGGAAACCTTCCGAGATGAGCTCGAGTATCTCTACAAAAATAATGTTAATGTTCAAATATTTTTGTCAAGTGAGCCTAACGGACTTCAACGCAAGGTGACAATTGAGAGAGAAGCAGGTTCAGACAATGAAAAGGATTTGTCATCTGGATCAGCAATCAGCTTCAATACACAATTTACACGGCCGGATCTTAAAAGCATTATTGAGACATCAATTAGTGAGGCGCAAGGAAGCATTGCATTCCTTGTGTGCGGCCCTGCTGGTATGAACGATGATGTACGCAAGTATGTTTCTGAAAACATGGACAGAGGCAATGGGCGTGTTGATCTTTACATTGAAGCTTTTAACTGGTAATTTGTTTTATATATATATATATATATATTTTTTTTGATTTTTTTTTAGCTTTGTATTTAATGAGTAATATGTTTTTTTATTTTTTGGAGCTTTTAGAGAAATCTGGATAGGGAAAGGATATTTATTATTGTTGGGGAAAAATGTGGAGATGGGCATTTGGAAGTAATAGGGTTTGGTGTCAAGACAATATTGTCATTTCAATGTAAATATTTTAATGTATTAAGGGTTAGGGTTATTTAGTTTAACATTAAAAGTAAGTTTAATTTAATTTAATTTAATTTTGTTATAACAATTAATTATTTTGATGGACAATTATAATTTAACATATTTAAATTTTACAATTAGTTAATTATGAACTATTTTCATCCTCCTTGAAAATAAAAGTAAACAATCCTTGAGGTAATTTATAATCTTGAAATCTTTTGTTAATAATGACTAAAAAGTTAGTAACAATAATATACCCGGATTTGTTAAGGGAATGGGGAGTACTGATACTTGCTCAGTGATTATTATATTTGGAAAATGATAGAATTGAGGTCAAAAAAAAAAAAGAAAATTATACTAGACAGATCATGGGGTTAATTCGAAACAGTCATAGGATAAACTCCCCAAATCACCGGCTTCGGTGGCAAACATTACGTTGACCAAAGCCAAACTACACCAAGTTCTGGTCGGTAACTGCACAATGTGTCAAATTTCACACACAGCTCAACACTATCATGCCATTAGGTGCTTATGTATTACACTAAGCGAAAAACTTCCAGCTAAGATTCCCAATAAGGAATAATATTAATAAACAAAAATAAATAAAAATAAATAAAAATCCAATAAGACTTTCATAGCCAATTTATGTTTGAAAAAAAAAAAAAAAAAAACCAATATATTGTGGTAGACATACGGAGTATTGTTGTAATGTAACAATATACAATGTTAGAAATATATATATTAGGAGAAATGCTTAGGATGCATCCATATGGTAAAAAAAAAATGTCTCGGTGGAAAAAAGTATGTCATTTTTTTAGGTCGTTGTAACGAAATTTATGGCAAAAAAAAAAAAGTCTTTTTCATTTCAATTTTTTCTGAGTAATAGATGATAGATGAATTAACCAAATTATTTCTTTTTTTTTTATTTTTAATGTTTAATATATGTCGAAAGGTATTTCATAAAAAATCATGGTATCAATTTTTTTTTTGAGCTTTTAAAAGGAATTAAATGATTAGTTTATTCATTTTGAAAAAAAAAAGTTTGAAATGAAAGCCCATAATTAAATTAAAAAAAAAAAAAGGTTTCTTTATTTGATTTTCTTCCAAAGTTTAAAAGATTCTTTTTTTTTATATTCTATGGAACCTTTTCCAGCATCTTTTTCTTTTATTTTTTCAAATGGAATGTCTTTGATAAAAAGAAAAATATCTCAAGTTTAGGAGGGACATGTTTTTAGATATAATTAATAAACAAATAAATAAATAAATTCAATCATTGGTTGGATTTAGGGAAGTAAAATTAATAAAATTATAATAAAATTATAATGAAAAATAGTGTGCACTGGTTAAAAAGTTCCATCAGGTATTGCTAATTAATTATTATTTAATTCTTTTAAAAAAAAAATTTTTTTTGTTTTTTTTAATGGAGTATTGTTGTATTCTAGTACAAAGTCAGTAAACCCATAGAACCCTTGATCAACCTCCCTAAATCTATTTTTATATTCCAGATCACTACCACTACATAACCCCACAAAAACTTTTTTTTAATTTAAATTTTTTTTTAGTTCTTTGTAATAAAAAAAAAAAAAAAAAATCTCTCGATTAACAAGCATTAATTCCGGAAAGAAGAACTCTTTTTTTTTTTTTTTTCTTTTTTTTTTTATTAAAGTCGTTCTAGTGTCGTTTAATGCTTTAAATCTTTATTATTAAGAAAAAATTTTTCATTAATGAAAAAAAAATAAAAAAATAAAATTGAGAGAGAAATAGAGAAATGAAATTCTATTGTTAAAGTTTCATATATATATATTGTTGGATATTTACCTTAATATCTGATTCACGTGATTACGTAGCCGTTGAAAACTGACCGTTTTTTTTTTTTCAGTCTGTGCGCACACACACACAAAATTTTAAAGGTCTTTCTATGTCTATAAATAGAATCTCCTCATACTAATAATATTCTCAGTTACTGGCCAACAACGGCTATTTTTGTCAAAATCAACACTTCTCATCCTTTTTTTTTTTTTTTTTTCAAATTTCTCCTGATTTATTTTTTTCATTTTCATTTTCATTTATATATATATATTTATTTTTTTTTGTATTATTATTATTATTATTATTATTATTATTATTATTATTATTATTTCCACTTTCAATGGAAAAATACCCGTCTAATGTATCAAATCTATTAAAATTTTCTTGTAAAAGAATATAAAATATAAAAAATAAAGTCCAAAGATCATAAAAAAAAAAAAGAAAACAAGAAAAAATTTGGTTAAAAAAAAACACACACACACACTATTATTATACTGAACAATATCATAAAAGTCTTGGAAAATCTCTCTTGATTTTGTTCCAAAGTAATAAATAAATAAACATAAATAAGATAGATAGAAAAAAAATAAGAATAAAAAGTTTAAAAGGTTGTCTGTCTGAAACGTAAGAGTGGCATCTTCTTTTTTTTTTTTTTTTTTTTTAAAAGAAATCAATTTTGGACTCGCTTGGGTGGATAAGTAAAATCGTCAAAAAAAAAAAAAATTTTTTTTATCACTCACTCACTCACTCACTCAGCCTCCAACTCTTTCCCTTTCCTTTTGACCATCCAAATTTTTTTTTTTTTAAACGTAAAGCTTAGAAATTAGATGCAGCGGTAGCGCGTGGCGCATGGTACTGATCAATGTTTGCACGAAACATGTTAACATCACTTTCGTCGTCGCTAAGGGCACCCACACCCACTCCGCCACCAGTTCCAAGTACACCAGAACCTGCCGGCATCCCCACTTTTTCAGCGGAGCCTCTTTCTCCCTTTCGGAAGAAAAGCAAAGGTGATCGGCGGGACCCATGGCCTCCAGGGACTTTACCAGAGGGAGCACCATTTGAATCACCCTTGCGCAAAAACAAGCGCCAAACAACAAACCCTACACCCAAAAGAACCAAAAATCCACCAACACCAACAACAACACCAATGACAATGTTGCGGTCATGAGTGGATAAACCACCACCGTTTTGGCTATTGGAACCTTGGGTTGCTAGTGTTCCGCTCTCTTGGTTAGATGAGGATCCGGAGGAAGTTTCTGCAGCAGCACCTGCATCCACTGAGGCAGTGCGCGTAATAACGACTGTCACGTCGCGCGTCACAAAGCCAGAAGTGGTTTCTGCAGAGGAGTCAGTTGCAGTAGTTGCAGTGGGGGTATCTGCAACTACGGAAGATTGGGTTGTTGTAGAATCAATGAAGACAATGACACTGCGTGTGACTAGAGTTGTTTCCTGGTTGGAGGAAGTTGTATCAGGGGTAGTTGTAGTGGCTGAGTTAGTAGAATCTGTGGAAGTAGTTTGCTGGGACGAGTCTGTAGAGGGGGATGAAGAAGAGGAGGGAGAAGATTCAGTTACTGTGACTGTTGATTCAAATGAAGTAGTTGAAGGTGATGGGGTTGGTTCATCTGATGTAGTTGTTGAAGAGGATGAAGAATCTGGGTTTGAAGTTGGGATATCAGTAGAGGAGGATGAAGAATCCGATGGTCCCACTGTGGAGGTACTTGTTGTCACGAGAGTAAAAATGGAAGTTGACTGTTGTGTATTTGTAGATTCTTGAGATGAAAGAGAGGTTGATTCTTCAATAGATGAAGAAGTGATTGTTGAATTTGAAGAGTCAAATTGGCGTCTGAAGATTCCATCTTGTGGGGATAATGTTGTTGAGAAGGGTAGTTGTTCTTGGGATATTGAAGAAGTAGAAGAGTTTGTGGATGTTGATATTTCAGAAGAAGTGAAAGAGACTGGGGAAGCTGTGGCCAGAGCAGCTAAGAGACTGGTTAAAATGAACAAAGTCGTAGGCCGTGTAGGACTTGATTTAGATTTCATGTGGAGTACTGTATTTATATATATATGAAAAAAAACGAGTGAATGGGCGGTTATTAAAGATTATAAAAGATGGTGAATTTTTTTTTTCTTATTGATAATTATACTAATATCGAATAAAGGTTAAGATGAAATTATAACGATAAATAATAATAAAAAAAAAAGCGTGACCAAAAAAAAAAAAAAAAAAGAAGGTTTATCACAAGTTTCAAACTCAAACGCGAGGAGGATATTGAAGATGATCCAGGAACCTTAGAATTAAAGAAAAGAAGGAAGAGAAATTAAAAAAAAAAAAAAAAGAGTGTGATGAACAAGACTTTTAATTTTTTTTTTTTGATTTAAAGAAAGACTATTAAAAAAAAGAAAGGAAAAGAAGGAATTTTTTTTAAATTAAATTTTGAAAGAAAGAAAGAAAGAAAGAAAAAAGAAAAAATTTAGATCAAAAGAATCTTTATGGAATAAAGGCTTATATATATATATATATATATATATATATATATTTGGATGAGTTTTTATGGATGAGTGAGAAGATGAAAGAGAAATGGCTGCTTTTTTTTTTATTTTTTTGCTGCAGTAATTTTATATTTATTTTTATATTTATTTTATTTTATTTCATTTATATTTATATTTATTTATTTTCGTAGTGATGTTTACCAAGCAAATGAGTTTTTATTATTATTATTTAGAAGAGAATTTTTTTAGTGCAAAAACTCAGTTGTTACACACATTTATTTCAACCATCAAATCATTTGGTTGTACAAAAAAAGAAATTTGTAATTAATGCTGACAAAGGAGATGTTACACAAACAGTAAATGTAACAAATATTTATTACAATAAAATGTTACAACAATATATTACATTTAAATATATTTATATATATATTTTCTTTTCTTAATTAATATAATTATTAATATAATTATTATTAATTTTTATGTTATTATTATTATTATTATTAATTTTTATTTTTATTTTTATTTTAATTTTTTTTTTTTTAACATGCTGGCTTTTTTTTTTTTAATTCCTCACAAACGTAAAAAAAAAAAAAAAAAAAGCTTTTGGAAATTAATTTTTTTTTTTTTTTGTTCTCACTCCTCTCTCCTTTTTTTTTTTTTTTTTTTTAATCCCACGTATTTCACAAACAAACCCAAGCAAGCACACACACAAATTCATATTTGACCAGCAATAACGGGGAAAAAAAAATGTCGTTAATAATGTACGTTCTCTAAGAAAAAAAAAAAATTTTTTTAATCGAAAAATTGAATTACTCTTTGATTGCCATCATCATTCATCATTACCAGCATTAATTCAATCTTTTTTGCATCATATATATACTATAATAGTCGCTAACATGTAATAATTTTACACCTTTTTTTTTCGTTTTCTCCAGCCTCTACCTTTTGGTCGTCTTTATGAACGCCGCCAACCTCTTTTTCCAAGTTTACTTTACTGTTATGTACAGCGACCTGGGTAAGTCTTTCATTCTCTCTTTCTCTCTTTTTCATTCTTATTTCTCTCTCGATTATCCTTTTAAAATCAATTGTTTCGGATATAATAAAGTATTGAGAAAAAAATAAATTTAAATAAATCTATAAACGCGACGCGATTTAATTTTTTTTTTTTCTTTCTCTCTCAATCACGAGCTCAGCCAAGTGATAAGACCCATTGGTGGTGGTGCTACAAAAAAAAAAAAAAAAAAAAGGTCTCTGTGGCCATTGTTACTACTACTACTACCTTCCACTATTATATATTACAATTACGATTTTTGTTACAATTTTACTAACAAATCCGCTTCTTGACGATTAATTCTTTATCTATAGAATCTGGTAAGTCATTACACATTTCCTTAGTTTTTTTTAATATTTAATCCAACAAATAACTAACAATTTTTTTTTTCTTTTTTGTTGTTTAAAAGATTTCATTAATCCTGTCGATCTTTGCAACCGTCTTAATTTTTTTATTCTGCCCGAAGCTGGAATTCAAGCTGCTGTGGCTCTTCTTCTCCTGTTGTCTGGTCAATGGCTTTCCTTCATCTTTAACTTGCCCATTCTTTTCTTTAACGCCAAAAAGTACATTAATAAGACCCATCTTCTTGATGCCACTGAGATTTTCCGTACTTTGGGCCGCCACAAGAATGAGAGCTTTGTCAAGCTTGGTATTCACCTTCTTCTCTTCTTCTACTACCTCTACTGCCTCATCATGGCCATTGTTGCTGATGACACTTCCTCCGCTTAAGTTTTTTTGGGTTTGATTAAAAAAAAAAAATTAAAATAAAAAAAAATAAAGATTAAAATGAATTTAAAGGTCCTTGATGATTAAATGATGTGTATTTTTTTTTTATTCCTTTTTGTATTTTGATTGATTGTTAAAGATAAAAAAGAAGAAAAGGAGGAAGAAGAAGAAGAAGAAAAACAATATAACATATTTAGAGAAAGAATGATCTTCTCCGGAAACAACTGATAAATAAAATTGAAAATTATATATATATATATATATATATATATTTTTTTTTTGATGATTGGAATTGACTTTTTATCCAAAATATGGATGGCTATATAAACCGATAACGCACCGTTTAAAGGCCCGTTATCGCCACTTAAATCTAAGTTACTATAGCCGTACATATATATATCTTACCCAATTATTATACTCTCTATTTATATGTATATTATTTTTTTTTTCTTTTTCCTCTTCTACTCCATAATCTTACCAATTGGTAACCTCTATTGCCGGATTTTCCCCCGACACCTTTCCTCCCACCGAGGTCAACCCGACCCGGCGTCTTTCCGTGCTGCCTTTCCCCCCCCCCCCCCCAGATTTTATTTTTTTATTATTTTATTTCCTTCTTTTATTTTCCACTGATGCAATGAAAAAAAAAAAAAAACAAATCCATTGCCAGCGAAATTTCTCCACCATCTTTTTATTTTCGTCTAACAAAACCACTCCCCGCCCGCTTTTCATTTTTCATACTATATTGAATCTCATTAAAGTCTCTCCAATCCCCCTTTAGGTCTTAGTCTCCCCACACTTGTATATAAACAACACAATTTCCACCCTTTTTTTTTTTTTTTTTTTTTTTCTTTTTAAATTCTTTTCTTCCTTTCTATCTTCATACTTCATCCAACCTTATCATCCTCCATCTCATCTATTCACAATGTCCAGAGTCTTTGTCAGAAACTTCCACCTTTCCCACATTTCTAAGCTTAACTCAGCTTACATCATTGCGGCCGGCCGCTCTCCTATCGCCAACTTCAATGGCGCCCTGAAGACCGTCTCTGCCACCGACCTCGGTGCCCAGGTTGTCAAGGCTGTTGTCGCTCGCTCTGGCGTTAAGCCCGTTGACGTCGAGGAGGCCTACATTGGTCAGGTCATCCAGGCCGGTGCCGGTCAGGCTCCTGCCCGCCAGGTTGTTCTCAAGGCTGGTCTCCCTGACACCACTGAGGCTACCACCATCAACAAGGTCTGCGCTTCTGGCCTCAAGTCTGTTGCCCTCGCCACTCAGTCTATCTGGCTCGGTGATGCCTCTGTCGTCCTTGCCGGTGGCACTGAGTCCATGTCCCAGACCCCCTACTACCTCCCCCGTACCCTTGGTTTCGGCCACACCCCTACCAAAGACTCTATTCTCCACGACGCTCTTACCGACGTTTACAACAAGATCCACATGGGTTCGTGCTGCGAAAACACCAACCGTCGTGAGAATGTTTCCCGTGAGGACCAGGACAACTTCTCTGTTGAGTCTTACCGCCGTTCCCTTGAGACCATCAAGAACGGTGGCTTCAAGGACGAAATTATCCCCATCACTGTCCACTCCAAGAAGGGTGATGTCATTTTCTCTGAGGATGAGTCCCCTGGCTCCGTCAACCTTGAGAGACTCCCCAAGCTCCGCCCTGCTTTCGAGAAGGACGGTTCCGTCACCGCCGGTAACTCTTCTTCCTTGAACGATGGTGCTGCTGCCCTTGTTCTTGCTTCCGGTGATAAGGCCAAGGAGCTCCACACTCCTGTCCTTGCCAAGGTTATTGCCTACGCTGACGCTGCCACCGCTCCTATCGATTTCACTATCGCTCCCTCTTTCGCCATCCCCAAGCTTCTTAAGAAGGCTGGCCTCAAGGTCGAGGACATTGCCAAGTGGGAGCTTAACGAGGCCTTTGCCGGTGTCTCTGTTGCCAATGCTCGCCGTCTTGGTCTTGACCCCTCTAAGGTCAATGTTAAGGGTGGTGCTGTTGCCCTTGGTCACCCCATTGGTGCCTCCGGTGCCCGCATTGTTGTCACTCTTATCAACGTCTTGAAGGATGGTGAGTACGGTGTTGCTGCTATCTGCAACGGTGGTGGTGCTGCTACTGCTCTTCTTATCAAGAAGGTTTCCAAGGTTGAAGAGTAAATATCTATCTTCCTTTAAGAAGATATAGACATTTTTTATGATTCCTTTATAAAACAAAAAGTAAATAGTAATGAGTAATGAATGAAATTTCTGTGATTTTTAAAAAAAAAATATGTACATTGTACATTTATAATTTGATTTTGAATACTTTAATCCATTATCTTTTATCTTCAATTTTTAGTCTTTTGTTTGAAATCATTGTATTACCCCAGACTTTAAAAGCCGAGGCTGTAACTTAAGTAAGCCCAGTACTTGTCAGCCCTTCCATCCGATGTGTTCCTTTTTTGAAAAATCTCTTGAGAAGACACACACATACACACATACACACACCAAAAAAAAAAAAAAATTACAAAAGGCCACTTACTAACATCCTTCTACATGTGTAGTTCATCATTGTCCTAAAGGCCGGAATCACGTCCGGTACTCGGGTCAAAAAAAAAGAACTAATAATAATAAGGAAAAGACAGAGTTACCCACTGTCATTTAGTAATTATTTTTTTTTTCTATTTGTTAGGAACGGCCATACCATAACATCCAATCCCATTTGGTCATTTTAGGTGTTTTTTTTTTTTTTTTTTTTTTTGATGGCTTTAATTGATACCTCAACATATACATTCTAAACCGGGCTCTTTAGGACAAGCGATATATATTTTCAAGACCCCTATATGTTTTTTTTTTTTTCAAAGAAAAAGAAGAAGAAGAAGAAGAAGATGATGATGATGATGAAAAAAAAAAAAAGACGCAGTGAGGTTAATTATTAACTGAGAAGAGGGGGTGACGATGGAGAAACCCTGTGCCGTTGAATTCAGTAAAGTTACGGACATATGCCGGCAGCTCAAGTCTCAAATCATAAACAACGTATGTAAATTGAGTTGAGTCTCTGGACATAAAAAAAAAAATTTAAAAAAAAAGTCCTATATTTTCATGTTGACATCTATCTATTCATCTATAACTACAAATTTACAAATACCTTATCTTTTAATGATGATTCTTTCTTTCCGTCATCCGGTATGTCGGAGAATCTTTATTAATTGTATTTAATTAATTTTTTTTTCTCAATAAAGAGGAACAGACGGATAGACTAAAGAGAAGGAATTTTTTATTTTTATATTTTTATTTTTTTTAGTTTTTTTTTTAGTTTTTCAATCGGAGGAAATTGTGGAGAATAGTTTGAATGGTTAAACGTCATGAGGTCTTCTGAGCTTTAACTGGAGGTTTAATAAGATCAATCAACTGGTTATATTACATAAATAATATATAATCTCTACTATTTAAAGACCTTTTATAGAAAACCCATCTAAGCATACAATGAACCCGTTTTTTTTTTTTTTTTGGTAATCACCTGGTAAGTTATTGGAAATATCTTTTTGCCACCCACATCCGTGAATTGCCGAAGATCAAAAATCTTTATAAAATAAAATTCAAACAAAATTAAAATACTTGGTGTTAAGATGTGTGCCACAAAGTTCCGGCGCCACAGTGCAGTCAAAAGACCAAAAAAAAAAAATTATTTACTTATATAAGAGACACCTAAAAAATCCTCGGTAAAAAAAAGAAAATAAAAAACTCCCCCGAAGGAAGAGAGGAATATAAAACTATCAAGGTTAGGGTTTTTTAAATAATCTTTGTTTTATTTTAATTTTAATTTTTATTTTTATTTTTATTTATTTTATTTATTTTTTTATTTTTTTTTTTTTTACTTTGAAAGATTTTTATAACCTTTAATACTTACAATCATATCCTGCTCTTTGATAATTATTAAAGAAAGTTTTTAAAAAAAAAATAAGATTCTCAGCAAGATGATGGAACTTATAATTAGTTGATACCAATTTCAAACCAATGTTTTTGTTTTAACCAGAGTTGTCTTTAATATTGATATTGATTAAAGATATTTTTTCAAACAAATTGAAAACAAAAAAAAAAAAATAATAATAATAATAAAAAACTCCAATGTCATTTTCATACCACAATACATTTCTAAGTACTATAGTCTGAACATAAGTCATAGCTTTTAATAGTCACAGCATGTTTTACTCTTACACACAGTTCATTTAAAAACAGAATCCAACCCAGTTCAATGTGTTTTTAATAATAATACAGCTAATTAAGTAGTTGCAAAACAAGTACATTATTAATTGCAGTTAATCAGGTTCGATCGATCGATAAAAATTAATTAAACCTTATTATAATATCACGTGCATATTTTAATACTATTCTTTTCTCCACTTCCACCTCCACCTCCTCCTCCTTTTTTTTTTAAAAAAAAAAAAAAATTTGCACTGCTAAATTTCTTACCATATAAGTTTGTTTTTTCTCTTTTTTTTTTTTTATTTCAAACAAAAAAATAAAAGTCTTTGAAGTCTTTGAAAATGACTAAATTCTACGCTGTACGACGGGGACACCAACCTGGAATCTATCTAAATTGGTAATATACTTTTCCCATTCATATGTTTTTTTTTATTAAGCTAATGTTATTTTTTTTTTTATTTTTTTTTTACAGGGAAGAGGCGCTAGAAAATCTTGCTGGCTACAGTAATAATGAACACAGAAGGTTTACCGATATTGACGAGGCTCGACAATACATGACTTACAACTATAATGAGAATTTCCTTTATTTTGACGATACCATCTATCATACGTTTAGTGGAACAATAAATGTCTGGACTGATGGCTCTGCCATCAATAATGGTTATTCGAATTCACGGGCAGGCTATGGCGTGTTTTACAGTTACAACGACGATCGTAATAGAAGCAAAAGACTTGATGGAGATATTCAAACAAACCAAAGAGCAGAACTGGCTGCAATCTATTTGGCAGTTGGCCATGCAATAAAATACCGTCCTAAACGGCTCTTCATTTACACCGATTCGCAGTACTCAATTAACTGTCTCACCAAATGGTACACCAAATGGGAGTCGAACGGGTACATGACTGCTAGCAATAGAGATGTCCAAAACCAAGATTTTATTAAGGCTATTCGTGCAAGAATTGATTACTTGAAAATGTACGATGTCAAAATTATGTTGTGTTTTGTAAATGCTCATGGCTCTAGTTATGGAAACGATCAAGCTGATACTTTGGCAAGACGTGGCGCAAATCTTCCTACTAATCTAGAAATGGGAAGATTACCACTCACCATAGATGTACTAGATGGAATCTCTTCTGAAAGTGAAGGTGAATATTATGAAAGCGATTCTGACGAAGACGAAAGTGATTATGATGAAGATGAAACTGATTATGATGAAGATGACTATAATGAAGATGATTGTTATTATTGTTAAGATGAATAGTGAAGATGATTTTTCTTTTTTTTTAGATTTAGCAGCTAAGTTAGCTTCTTTAAATCATGGTTAGTTGCAACAGTTTAGTTTAGGTTAAAGCACACTTTAATTAACAATTTTATTAGGATTACTTTTAACGCTTTAAAACGTGGTGAAATGTTTCATTTTCTAAATTTTGTATTTGATTATTGATGAACAAGTTATATATATAAAAATATATTTCATAATACAATATTCAAACTACTACCTATATCTAATATCATTGTACTGGTAATTTATCCTCTAACTTGCTTTAACTCCTGATTATAGTGCATATACAAGTTACTCTTTCTTTCTTTCTTTCTTTCTTTCTTTCTTTCTTTCTTTCTTTCTTTCTTAATCATTGGCGCTAGTTCACAATATCCAAAATAACCTGTCATCAAGGAATACACTCACTTAAGATGAGGTTTTAACACTACCAGGATATATTTTAACCGAAAGGAAAACAATGTCATGCTTTTTTGAAGTGATCTTTAAGACTCGAAAAAGCTGGATAAGGAATAATGCATTTTTTTTTTTTGGATACTTTGAAATTTCCTAAAGGACAACTTGGAATTGATTTATTACAAGGAAGTTATTTAATATAAATAAACAAAGTTTCCCCTTCTGTATTATATTTTCCTGAAAACCCCCATTTTGAGTTCAAGTGATCAAAATAACTCATGAATTATTTTTTCGAAACTTAAAAAAAAAAAAAGAAAACCCATATTTTAGACTATCACAATCTATATTTTTATTTCCCTAATTCGATATATATATTCATTTTAGTCATTGATCTTAAATTTTTGATGTCAATTATGGTTCTTGAATACTGAATGTCTTTCCATCATTATCCACCCACTTTCTGTTTTTACCCTTAATTCTTTATTTCTATTGTGTTTGCTAAAATGTTGTTACCACCTCATGAATCTATTTTTTTTTCTCATCCACCATCATAATCTCTCTTGCTGATTAATTAAAACCATATATATTTATAAGCAAAATCATGGCTCTCTTTTTGGATTTTTGCACCAGAAATGTGTATAATCAGGAAGTGCATACTTGGCACACCAATTAATTTGGATAAAAGAAAGAAATGTGAATGTCCATTCACCCAATAACAGTGTCAAGTAAGCTAGCCATGAAATGCCATTTAAAAAATAAGTATCAAAAACAGAAGTGATAGTTCAAATACCCATACTTTATCATCAGAGTACTAACAAGATTTTAATTGAATTCTAAAAGATTATTTATTCCAGAATTAGACGTGAACTTTACAAGATGCTTCCCCTTTTTTTTTATTAATACATTCAATAAAATATGAGAAATAATTTATATCTTTTGTAAGACTGGGTATGATTGAGATAAAAGTTAGGGTATTGTAGTACCAAGTATAAAAGTAATAAGATTTAAAAACAATTTCTTTTTCAAACAATGGTGTAAAAGTTGTAAATGCTCATATTTGGATAAAATAAATTATTCTCCACATTAAGTAATTAACTTGCCGTGATAGGATGTTTGTTTGTTAAATAATTATTATGTTTTTTGTAAAAAAAATATATAAATAAAATAGGTTTAAAATAAAAATAAGGTTTTCCTCATAACTCTTTGGTTTCTTCTCCTTATTATCGGGTTTCTTATTTTTCTGTGGGTATAACGCTTCTAAATTATAATTGATCTTCTACATAAAAAAAATCAATTCTTAAAATATTTAGTTTATTTATGATTTTTTTTTTTTGATTCTTATATGATTTTTTGTTTAAAATAATTGAAAAATAAGGAATCTGGTCATCTTGAAACAAACTAATTAGTGGTTGAATTCTTTTGATTAATGTAATAAACTGTAAATTTTTATTAACAAAATATCATTATTAATAAGTAAAATAAAATTTTTATCACAATTTACATTTATTAAACAATTAAAGACCTTGAATTTCTCTAAAAATTTTCTGGTATATGTTCAGAAAAAAAAAATATTATTTTGAGAAACAGGTTAGCAATTCTACCATGAATTTTTTTCACTTCTGTTTTGATGATTAACTGTATTTAATATTAATATAGCTAAGCTAATTAACCATTATAATTATTAATGTAACATCGAGGAAAAGGTTTCAAGGACTAGGGTATTGAATATTGAGAGTATGTTGTAATTGATCTAATTATCATAATACTAGGGTTAGGGTTAGGGTTAACTTAACATTATTTAAGAAACAATTCAATAAATTCAACAAACACTGATCAATTACTGTTTAAATAAAACATTCATAATATCGTTATTAACTTGACTGTACCATTTTGTGGTGAAAAAAATACTTGACAACACATATTTCCTTTTTATGAACTTACCTAAATCCTTAAAAAACCTTAGAGTCTATGACTAGGTTGTATTGAACCAATTATAATCGCCTGAATTTTTTTTAATATAATCTTGGGTTTGAAAGTTTTAATTGATATTTTTTTTTCTAAATTTAATAATGAAAAAAAAAAAATTAATATGATTTAAAGATATTTCTAAGTTTTTTGAAGAATTTTTGGTATATACTATATTAATGGAAACCTTTTGTATTTCTTATTCTTTAAATGTTTTGAACTTGCAAGCTTGAAGGTAATGAAAATATTTAATTATTTTTAAAATTTACTTGTTTTAGCGTAAATTTATATAAAAAAGCTTGAATTGAATCAAATTCTTTAACGACATTTTTAAAATTGATTAAATATTGTTGCAAGTGGAAATTAAACTTGATTGAAAGTTATAGCTGTAATTAAATTGACCAAATATAATTGGAACTGGTTTTTCCTTAGTAGAGAATAGTTTTTTTTTCAAGCAGAAGAAAAATAAGTAAAGGAGCTCATAAATGGCTTTTAAGATGACAATTATTAAAGCAATTCTTTATTAATGGATTCATCATACATATGATAAATTGTTACATATGCTTTTCATTCTAGAAGTTTCAAAATATTTTGTACAAATATTGTATTTGTTAACATGAATTTGTAATTTGATAATAAAATTGTTATCAAAAGTTTTGTTTATATATATTTAAAAGTACGTCAAACACGAGCTCAAAAATTCACATGTACAATGTTATTATCCTTAATAAACAATTTTAAAAATAGAAAATCCTCTAAACTAGATATCTAAATAAAATTAAGTCAATTTAAATAGTTCACGTTTGTGTAAATGGTTTAAATCCGAAAATGTTAAATGCCAGTAATAGAAAGGTTTTAGAGTCGTGAATATTTGGAATTCAAATAGTTGAAGTAAAAAATAAGAAACCTCCTGTTTCTTTTTTGAAGACATTGTACTTTGGAAATATTTAAGGAGTAAAATTAGGTAGGGAACTATTCACAAAATAAATTTAGACTTAAAATATTTAAATTAATTAATTTATTAATGGCTTCCTTTAGAATAATAGTAAAGAAAGATCCGAATCACTATTTTGTTCATCAAAGGATGTGGTGTTATAAAGGTAATTTTCAAACTAGTTATCCCTTTGTAGTGCTATGCCATAAAAGACCATAAAAGGCTAGTGAAAAAGTCTTTAAGATAATATTTGAATAGTTATGCAAAATTTTGGTCTCTAATGCTGGTAGATTCAAAGGCTATAAATGGATAGATTGAAGGAATATGTAAAGCTTCATTCCACAATTGTGTACTGGGCAGTTAGAGAGTCCTACCCAGCAAGAGGCAAGAGGCAACACTAGAACATTCAGCTTTCTGTGCTATGTAACAGAGACAGGTCACACTTATAAACCTAAGTTATCGAAGGCATACTACTTCTCAATATCATAAAAATAAATTTTTGTAAATTCCTATCCTAAAGTAGCAATTATGCATTACTAAATTTAGGATGTGAATAATAAGGGAAAACTTATAAGTTTTTTATTATGTACCCGAAGTTTTGAAGATGCAAACTAATAAAATGGATTTATTGAAAATTACAAATATTTGAAATAGACAAGTTTTATTAAAGTATTATGTCACGTGATATTTGAAATTGTCAATCTATTAAGGAAGAAATTGGACAAAGCTTATTTATTTTGTCTAACCCTAACCTTAACAATTAATAATTTTTTGCAACTTCTTAAGTAATACACTAAAATTTAGACTAAAAATTATAGATTATGTAATTTTGTTTAAAAACTTTTTTTAACCGATTGGTTAAAAAAGTTTGTTTTGCAAAACCTAACACATTATTTTGTAATTACAAAAGCCTATTATAATAGGCTAATATTAGCGTAATTAACTAACACCACCACCAAAAGCCTTAACCATAGACTATTTCGTTAAACGATACTTACTGAAAGATCTCTCAGCTCTAGACCAAGATTATCATTATTGTTGAACCAACTAAAGTTAAGTTTTATTTATCTAAAATATTATTAAAGGCTAGTCAGTGGGGCTTAAGACATACCCAAAGGAGCTCAGTAACCAATAATTTTTATCATTTTTGGGCTTCATATATTTCTAAATTAAGCATGACATTATAAATTTATTATAAAGAAAAGGGGAAATTAGACAATTTTGTACAAATATCTCTTAAAAATCGGTTAATTAGAGATCGGAAGGTTTTTTTTTTTTTTAAAATAAGAAATGTTTATTTTTTAATTTTAATATTTTTGGCATAGATCTCAGGAAAGATCACGGACTGGAATGTAATAATAGTATTTTGGCCAAGCTTTATTTTATAAAAAAAAGATGCATAAAACCGGTTGTCACAATTATTGATACATGTAACAATACACAATTGTGAATTACAATCGTGACAAAATCATGTATACATGTAGTAGTTGTAGATTTAAAGTCCAATATCCAATAATAGGGTAAGTTATAATTTGGGTAATTACCGTTATGGATTTACTAATACAAAACATACGGCACCATTGGTATAACCGATTAAGAGTTATAACTCTTAGAATTAGCAAAACAAAAAAACGTGGTAAGATCTTGAATCTTGAAAATATTTAAGTTGAGAACAGTT